AAGTTGCATACAACACATCTTTTTTAATGCAAATGTCTTTGGTAGTGGCACCAAGTCAACAAAAAGAGACAACTAAAATACATATGCACTTGTCAATCAGTCAACAAACAAAAAAATGATGAAACAAATTGCAAGTTTTCAGACTTCAGAGAGCAAGCAAGAAGCAGCAGCTCCTGTACACAATTTTTCAACCTATTATACCATGACATGTGTGTGTATATATAATTTATTTATTTATTATTAATAAAACGGTTCGGTTCGGTTCGGCCGGTTCTTGGTCATTCGAAACCGGAACCGGAACCGGTTTGAACGGTTCGGTTCGGTTTTTCACTCAAAGTTGACTTTTCCGGTCAACACGGTTTTTTTTGGTTTTTTTTCTTACGGTTCGATGCGGTTTTGCGGTTTGGCGGTTTTTATGCCCACCCCTACACATCCCGCCCCGGGGGGACCACTTCTCGAGCACACTCCGCCACCGTAGGACGATATTGTCCGCTTTGGGCTTACCATTCTCTCATAGTTTTGTTTTTGGGAACTCACGAGCAACTTCCCAGTGGGTCACCCATCATGGGATTGCTCTAGCCCCCTTCTCGCTTAACGTCAGAGTTCCGATGGAACTCGAAGCTAGTGAGCTTCCAAAAAGTCTCGTACTAGGTAGGGATGAGAATATACATATAAGGATCACTCCCCTGGGCGATGTGGGATGTCACAGACATTGAATAAATTACACATTAATTAAATTAAACTAAATTAAGGACATATCAAGAGACTATAATCAATATGTAATCTACACAAAGTTTTTATTATATTTCAATATTCTTCAAGAATTAAAGTTATAAATTAAAAAAAAAATTCCCTTTTTTAAATCCAACCAACATAGAGGTCAAAAAGACTTAAATGACCTTGACACTTATTGCACAGCGATGATTTCGGCAATGCCAGATAACCAATGTCCATTTTGTGATGCATTGCTATTTTATCGAAGGGGTAATGCCAAATAGACTAATTTGTAGATTGAATTTTGTAAACTAAATGATATAGAAGTTGGTGACATTGGATTATTACATAAGTGTTGATCAACGTGTTTATTTTTTTATTAGTGACACATCATTTAGTTTGTTAATTCAATCTACAAATTTAGTCTCTTTAGCATTACTCTATAACAAAAGGATAATGCTAGGGACACCAAATTAAATTTGTGGACTTAAATTTTGTAAACTAAATGATGATTGGATTTCTCTAAAAAAATTGATGATTAGATTATCACTTAAGTGTTGATTAACATGCTTATTTCTTATTGGTGACGCATTATTTAGTTTACCAATTCAGTCTACCTAGCATTACCCTTCCCAAAAACTCCTCCCCACAACAATTACATTTTATATTTCTATTTTCTATACGAACTCTCTTCCCCATTTCAACATTCTTCAACTTTTTGCAAATTTGTCATTCAAACTTCAAGTTTTAAGCAATCAAAGTAATGATTTTAATATCAATTAATTTAGGTTTTTTAGCTAAAATGGTCCTTAAGATTTACATAACTCTTCACTTTGGTCTCTAAGATTTAAAATCAATAGAAGTGGTCTCTAAGTTTGTCAACTGTCAATTATTTTGGTCTTTTCGTGCACAATTTCTATTAAAAAAAAGAGGAAAATGAAAAAAATACCCTCAGTTGAATAAACTATGGGACATAATGATTTGAATAAGATTGAGAGTATTTTTGTCATTTTTCCTTATTTAATGGAGATTTTTCACATAATGATCAAAATGATTGACGATAGACAAACTCAGGGACCACTTATATCGATTTTAAATCTCAGTGACCATTTTGAATAAAAATTAATTTATGATTGCTTTAAATATTCTAGGTCTTGCTTTGGTTCAAAAGAAGTGAACTGGTGCTATGCTTGGAAAAGTTGGTCAACACTTCACTAAGGAGCCTTGAAATTGACTATACCTATATTCCAAAGGTAGAAAGAGAGTGACAGCAACAGAGGAAATGAAATAAAGAGAAACAGACGAACGGGAGGAAAGGAATATGGAGATGAAATGTAAGAAGAGTGGAAGGAAAGAAAGGGATTAAGAAGAGAAGAAAAGAAAGAATAGAGACGAGTGGGAGGAAAGAAATAGGTAAAGAAGAAAGAAGAAATTCAGAAAGAATAAAGAAGAGTGGGAGGAAAGAAAGAGGTAAAGAAAGAAGAAGAAATTCAGAAAGAATAGAGAAGGGAGAAAGGGATAATGAAAATTCGCTCATGTTTGGATGATGAGCTTTTAAAGTTTAAAGGAATCCTAGATTGAATTGTTAAAAAATACTTTACAAAGATATTAATAATGGACTACTTAATGATGACCAAGCCACGACTCAAATGTATTACAAAAACACTACGCAATGATTAGATGAAGTGACTTTATAAAAGTCTAGACGCTATACGTTTCAGAGATCTTTCGAATAATACCGTGAAGTCTTTTCAAGTAACTTTGTAGTGTTTTATTAGTTCATTGGTAGTCTTATAGTAATTTTTTTTTTAGGATTAATCTCAATTTACTACCCTGAAATTTTTTGATTTTCAACATTTCATCTATCAAGTTTTTTTTCGTCCCAGTTTGGTATCTAAAGTCATAATTCCGAGACACTTTCATACATATGTTAAGTTGAAAAACCTTTGTTAACTGATGACATGGCATCCCATGTGGACAATGACTGAACGTCACGTGTCAATATGAACCCACGTAAATATTAAAAAAATTAAAAAAAAATTAAAAATTAAAAACCCAAAAGCTATCACTTTGGATTTGGAAGCAACCAGGTTTTTCCCCCGATTGGTCGATTGGATTTCCCCATCTCAAATAGACTGCTCCTTCTTCCACTCTTTCTGTTGTTCTTCCCGGTGGACAACATGAGCCCCACTGTTGCTTGTCCCATTCTTAATCAGTGGCTTCCCCCGCCCCAATGTCGGCCGACACCCAGGGCCAGTATTCAGATTTTTGAGGCCCGAGACAACACCAAAAAATGTGCCCTAACTTCATATATACGAAAATTATTTGTTTTCATACGTAAGATTTTTGATAAAATTAAACTTAAAAAAGCACTTCAAACTCAATATTTTAGAAACACGAAAAAACAAATTTATTTTGTATCCAGATAAAGGAACAAAAAAACCCCGAGCTTACAAGTAGATAGATGATGAGTTTTGTTTTTCTTCTATCTAAACTTTTAAAGTGTTTTGTATAAATTGTGATGTGCTTTTTCTTATTTACTAACCTTATCAATATGGGACTAAAAAATAATGATGTTTTAACTGATATTTATAAGCAACTAATGAGCCCAAAATTAAACCTATTGGTGACCCGTGATATAATTTGCAAATTTGGTCTACGCATTATTCTTTATTGGAGGTTAGGTTTAATTGGAACAAATGTTTAAAAACTACAACCCACATAACTGTTAGCTAGTAATTAAAAAGAAATTAGCCAAATAAAAATTCATAAAAATTGAAAAGAATAAACATGCACATATCATTTCGAAATTAAAAAAAAAAACACACACACACATAATGTTTCAAACCTAAGACCTCCTTATTAATTTTAAATAATATAAACCACCACTTATGGCCTAATTTTTTTATCATTTTGCCAAACTTTATAAACTTTATACTCTAATGAAAAGAAATTTGTAAAAATTGGAAAGTAATAAACACACATGATGTTTTGATCCCAATACCTCCTCATTTATTTCAAACAACAAAAACCACTGATCCTAGTGAAATTTCTTATATATGCATATACCCACTCTAGTAATTTTATTGCCCCTATATTTTTTGGGCCCGAATGGTTGCTCAACCCCCACTGAGCCTGTGCCAACCCTGCCAACGCCGCCCTCTCCTTCCCAACCATTTCCTCGCTCACCAAACCCTTGAAGTATAGCTTCAATACGCTCTTGACGCTCTTTGCCGCCACCCTTGACGAAGAGGATGATCCTTCGCCGAGGGGCTTGGAAAACAAGTCATGGGACTCCTTCCACTCCTCATTCGAAATCCTCATGATCTCCCTCGCGACCTGATTGTCGTGAATCCGACGGTCGAGATCCTTTCTGGTTTTCTACATTTCAATCTCGATTGGCTCACGGTCTTTCAATTCTTACTACTGGCCTCGTGAGTTCGCTGGATTGGATGAAGCTCACAGTTGGAGTGTCAGGGATGGCTAAAATGGCGTCATTTTTGAGATTGGGTAGATGAGGGAGGGTTGGAGGGCGAGGGAGCCGATGGTGCTACCGCCGTTGTCCTCTGAGCAGAAGCAAGCCCATTCCTAAGACGGCTGGGTTGGGGAAAAAACCCAAGTTGCTTCCAAATCCAAAGGCATAGCTTTTAGGATTTTAATTTTTATTGTTTAAATATCTGAGTGGGCTCATATTGACGTGGCCCTCAGTCATTATCCCGTGGGTACCATGTCATCAATTAACGGAGATTCTGATAAAAAATTTAAAAGATATATGAAAGTGTCCTACAATTATGACTTTAGGTACTAGGATGAAAAAAACTTAACGTATGAAATGTTCAAAAACAAGAAACTTCAAGATAGTAAATTGAGTTTAGACCTTTTTATTTTATTTTATTTTATTAACAATAAAATCTAAAATATCATGGAACCCCCTTAGTATTAGGGTTTATTGATTTTTCTTCGATACCAATTTATTCCGTTGTCTGTTTAATGTATGTGTATCGTTGAATTAAAAAAAATTTAAATTATCTTGAGAGTTTTGAAGGTTCCTTGTTCAACATTTCACCTCAATTACTTGCTTTTGTGATGAGTGTAGTGGAATTATCCATTCTAAAATTGAGGAGGGATTTGACTGTAGGTTAGCTACAGTCAAATTTTTGTCCCTTAATTTTTCCTTTTTTACACCACTGCCATCTCATTTGTGGCTGGGCTGAAGGGTAATTACTTAAAGTTATGAGGGTAATCTGTCACTGAGTTCAGGATATTTACCTTTTTACCACACTTCACAAGTTAGACGCGTGCGCCTCTCATCTCTCATTATTCCTCTCTCTCTCCCCTGCGCTTGTACTGTCCTCTCTCTCTTCCTCTTTCTCTCCTTCTCTACTGGAATATCCACAATCTTTCATCTTCCTTTACTCTTCCTTTTTCTCCGCGCCCCATATCTCTCGCCGTGAAGCCCACAAACCAAGTAGTGACGGTTGAAAGCCTCAAGCATGGTGGAAGCGAAATAGAGGTACAATGACGGTCGACAACAGCCTCCGTTGTCGATGAATTTGGCCGTCGAAAAGCGTCCTCGCTCCGATTATGGTATGTTGAATTTCTCGAATTTCTCTTTATTTGGGTTTCCTCTCTCCTTTTTGCGTTTGTTTGGGGGTTTATAAATTAGGTTCTTAGGGATTTTAGGGTTTTCTCTTTTTTTTTTTTTTGTCTTCAGAAATTGCACTGCATTTCTCAGATTTTGAAAAAATGGGCCTATTTTTTATTTTTGCATTCATCTCTCTGGTAATTACTCTGAACCCCAAAAGATTTGAAATTTCTGGTAATTTTTCTCATTGTTTTTGACAATTTGTTGTTAGCATTTGTATAAATTGCTGCCATTGTGTTGTGAATTAGTAGAAAATTGGGGTTTCAGGTAAATGACGAGATAGGTATGTGGGCAAGACAATAAAAATTCATTCTTTCATCTGTTTGTTTGATTAAATATATTTTTTGTCCTTTTTAACCCTCTTTGTCAATTGTGTAGGAATTGTTTGATTTTTCGGGTTCAGCAACATCAGGTACTTTTTGACCCAATCAACCACAAAAAACTGGTATGCTCTTTCCAAAATTTTCAATTTGGTACGCTCAGAATTGTATTCATATAATTTAATTCTTAATTTTTCAAAATCCTAAATATTTCGTGTATATTATATTCTCCAATATTTCTTCTTATTAGCGTTTGATTTTTTCAGGTCTGTTTCCTGTTGGCATGCTTCCTTTGTTTCAGATGGGAGTCGACTCAATTGGTAAGCCATTTGTTTCGATCTTTTGTCACTATGATTTTTCCTCAAGAAATTACATTATTTTCTCACTTGGTAAGACCAGAACTAGTGGTCACTATATATGAGTACACTCGGTGCCTTTTTGAGGTTCTAAACTCATCTCCAACAACGCTAAATAAATTTATATGAAATTGACTTCAAGTAATGTAAAAGTTATTCGTGGCGAGTCACTTTTTATTTATAATTCTCTTATACGACTACTGACCAAAGTGTAGAGATAACTCATAAATCGGAAAGATTTTTAGGGGTTTTTGAACTTTAATCCTTGAAGAAGATTAAAATTTAATAAAAACCTGGTATTAGATTGGATCTTGATTTTAGTCCTTTAATGTGTATTTAATTCAAATTCGTATTATATTTTTTTACTATTTAATAATTATCTTATTTAATGTCATTACATTAAATTTTAAGTGTATTATTATACGTATTTTAATTCATTGATTTTATTTAACTTCCTCTAATTAGTGTATCGTCTATATCATAATATATTTTACCAAATTAGTGTACCGAAATATTCGTACCTAAATATATTATAGTGAATTAGTAGCACATAAGAAAATATGCAAAATCATAAGTGCATTGAAAATTCTGTGCCTAAATATATGATCCTAAATTACTGTACTAAAGTGTTGGTACCTAAATATTTTATATTAAACTAGTGTACTAAAATGTTGGTACCTAAATATTTTATACTAAACTAGTGTATCGAAATGTTCGGACCTAAACATATTATACTAACCTAGTGTACTGAAATGTTCGTATCTAAATATATTGTACTGAATTATTGGCATATTAGAAAATATGCAAAAACATAAGTGTACCTAAAAATTTCTAATAAAATATTTTCTTATATAAGATACTTACCATAATGGGAATTAAAAATAATAATATTTTCATAAATTTAATTTATGAACACCATAAAATTATAAATAAAAAAGAGACATTAAAATACATATGATGACATTAAATGAAGACTAGGGACTAAAATCAATTTTTAATCTTGTATAAGACATTTATCTAAACTTCATCAATTTTTGATCTTGTATAAGACATTTTTCTATAGCCTCAGTTGACTGGCAACACTTGCTTCCGAGTCGGAGCTTTCTCGGTGGTGCAGTGATCTGTGAAGGTTAATGGTAGTCACTATTCACAAAACTAATTTGTCGTAAGGATGGTTTGTCGGTGCAAGCTGTCAGTAAACTGAAAAATATAACTTTAGTCTTTAAAACTCATTTTTCTTTACATAAATCCCGACGTAGTTTTTAACTCTTTGAATAAAATTCATGGACTAAACTCTACATAAGTAAATTCATTAATTATATTTAACTTCAACAATTATACATTTTCCAAATGCTTGAAATACCCTTAATTACATTTTTGACCTACACAATGAAGAATTCTTAATTGTATGTGAATTGGAAGGGGATTAATGGTTATCGCAATAACCAGAAAATGCTAATGTCTTGATAAGATGCAAATGAGAAATGCTAAGGAGACTCAAAAGTGAGACATTCTGCCATGACATAATGTTTTATAATGTTGACATGAAAATTCCCGTTAAACTATGAGGTAACAGAGATTTTCACTTGTGAGAGAATCCGAGTAGCATTTGTCTATTTAAATAGAGGGTAATGATTCGATAACAGAAAACTAGAAGTTAATGTTGTAAGTTGAATGCATTTTACACACATACATATAATAACAATAAAATGTGCCTAGTATGTACTAGTACATGTAAAATAATTTACTTACAACATATCTTCTTGTTATTTGATTAAACAATAATTTACCTTACACACATAATAATAATTTCCATATAAAAAGGGAGGAGCGACATTTGATAAAACACGCGGAAATACTTAAAATACGCCTTAAATAAAAGCTTAAAAAAAATGAAAAAAGTGGACAAGAGGAAAACATATTCCATATTACAAAATAAAAAAATTAATAAAAAGAGTTTCAAAATTTTGAATTTTAACTAAAAACCACTTAATAATTTTATTTAATAGTTATGACAAATCCAACAACAAAACAGCCCAACACGTTGGCCCAAACAATATGCTTCCAATTTTACCCCTGATGGAAATCCTTTGCCCGCTTAATCCTTGTATCCCTCTCTCGATCTCTCCCCTACACACAATTTTCTATCATCGTTTTCTCCACTCAATCTCTCTCGATCTCTCTACTCAATCTCTATTTTCGTTTCCTATTCGATTCGAATTCAACCATTTTCGAAATAAAAAGGTCAGTTTGTACTCCCTTATGCGTCCGAGATTTCAGCTAAAGAGGTCAGTTTGGGAGAGATTTGTTGTGGGTTTTCTAAATTTTTTCATCTGCTGTTGAATTTGCCATTTCTGTGATACGGGTCTGGTATAATTTAGTGTCGGTTTATCTGGGTTTGATATTAATTGTGGTTTTCAGATTGAATTTCTTATCTCTTATTTGATGTGAACACATTTGGGTATTCTGTTGTTTTACAGTTGCAGCCTCTTCCTTCTTCTTCATCGGAAAATCAATGCAATCTCTTCCTTCTTGTTCATCCATTCCAAGCCTTACGCAGGGGAAGAAAATGACGCGGCAGGACATAGCTTTTTAGTTGATTTTCCAAGCGGTGCAATACTCTTTTAAATTTGCAATACTCTTAGCAGTGCAATAGAAACCGCACTCACGTCACAATAAACTTTGGTATTCCAAATTGGTATTGGGCTGAACAGAAGTCCGCCATCAGACTTGTGTGGAATGGATTTGTGTTTCCAGGTCAAAACTTGAGAGTAATTCTATAAAAAAATGAAGTGTAAATTTTTACCCCCTTTAGGTTTTGGTGTAATTTCAATCTCATGCATTTAGTATCATTTTTTTTTAAATTTCATACAACCGTTAAAAAAAAATCTATTAAGTTAATCGTTAAGTGATGATGTGGGTTCCTATTTGTGCTGACATGACTATCACAATTATGTCATGTGGCTAAATATTTAATAAAAAATTTAAAATATTAAAATAATTAGTTAAAGAAAAGTAAAAATTAAAAATAAATAAATAAAAAACCCAAAAAGCCCTTCGTCTTCCCACCCCCTTCTCCTTACCCGAGGCCACCCATAAGCCTCACCCAACATAACCAAACCATCTAATGGTCAATTCAGAGGAGATCTGGACGGATTCGAACCACTGTCCATATGGTTCTCAGCATGTTCTCACCAAGGTGCTAGCCCACCTCGAGCACCAATCGAATCTAGTTATCCAGGACCTCGAGAGCCGTGAGGATCGGCAACAACCCCTCGTCGAACCTAACATCGACGATGGCTATGATCACCTAACAGACCTTGCTGGTGGGGCCCTTTCTAGTGAAATCATCTGTGATTTTTCCACTCACCGATGTTGTAGCGGGTGTACGAGGCGCAGTGGCTATTGCGGCCGATGACGTTGAGTAATGGGCAGTGCGCGAGATGAGGTACCACGTGGGTCGCGTGAGGGGGGATCTGGGGGTAGGCTCGGGTGGGGAGAAAGGGGTGTGTCTGATTTGGGGAAGATGAAGGGGTTTCTGGGTTTAGGTATAAAAGAGAGAGAGAGGGAGCGTGTCTGATTTGGGGGTGGGCTCGGGTGGGGAAGACGAAAGGCTTTCTGGGTTTTTTTATTTTTCTTTAATTATTTATTTAAATATTTTAAATTTTGTGTTAAGTGTAGCCATGTCAGCATAAATAGGGACCCCTTATTTGCCCCGTCATCAATTAATGGTTAACTTAACTAATTTTTTTATGGTCGTATGAAATTGAAAAAAAAAAAAAAAAAAAAACTAAATGTATGAGATTGAAATGTTTTAAAGATGTTGTATGAGATTGTAATTGCATCGAAACCTGAGGGGGTAAAATGTAATTTACCCAAAAATAAGCAGCTTGGAAGTAACTCCAAAGCTATATAGGACTCTAATCTCTTTTATTTTTGAAACTGAACAAAAATAATTTACATTATTTTGGAAATTGAAAGAAAATAATCCACACTACCAAGAAAGACGAAAAAGTTCGAATGTACGTTGACTACAGGGATCTGAACAGAGCAAGCCCTACCCACATAGAATTCCCTCTTCCTCATATCGGCGTTCTAGTCGATAATACAACAAGAAATAGGATGTTCTAATTCATGGGTAGTTTCTCAGGATACAATATGATGTTGATGGCAGAGTCAGATCAGGAGAAACCTTTATTCACAATATCGTGGGGAACCTACTGTGGCAACGTAAAGCCCTTCAGATTAAAGAATGCTAGAGCAACTTATCAAAGAGCCATGCTAGGAATAACCAATTCATGGGGAGGTTGGAGTATCACAGGGGATTACTGCAAAGTCTACTATTCGCCTTAGGCAAAAGTTGACTTTAACCTCATTCTCCTATCTTAAATAAGGCCTAAACGAGATCTTTTGACTCCCAGTTAGGTTTCCCTACCAGGTCTTGCCAGTGTTGCTTGTAGGTCTTGCCACTGTTGCTTGTAGGTCGTTTTTTTGACACTTATAGTTGAAGCAAATTTTCTGAAGATAAAATGGATTATGGGAGTGTGTGATTTGAACTATTGATCGGGCCTTTCGGATTGGACACAAACAAGTGCACCTGCTAAGAAGTATTGTTAATTTTTTCATGCTCGTTCCAAGTTCGAAGTACCATTTGTACAAATAAGAATCCCCTTCGTTACATGATTTCTTTTTCATATAGATAGATATAGGATCTATGGAGCAATTACTTAGAAGTACAAAACTTAGCTAATGCTACCTTCTTACTATTAGTAAGCAAGCGTTTCAATCACTCGAAAGCTCACGTAATGCCTTATCGAGCCGGTCCAAAATCATGCGTTTATGATCTCGGCATGCGGAGGGCAAGTACTTCTTGTCGCCCGATCTTAGTACATCTATATTAGGCTTACGACATGCTTCCACTAAGGCCTATTTCTTATTGAATTAACAGATCAACTTAACTTGTTTTGCTATCGAACCTTTTTTTTTCTTTAGTAATTTTCGCAAAAAATTTCAACATATTTTATTATGAGAATAAATCCTACTACTTCTAGTCTTGGGGTTCCTGCACTCCCAAAAGGAAGAACGTGAAATCTTTTTCCTTTCCGCAGGGACCAAGAGATTGGATCTAACTGTAAGAAGAATGCTTGGCTAACCCTCGGTAAACAAAAGTCTACATAGCAGTTCTAATGCTATGCCTTGAACCACTCGGCCACCTCTCTTTCCTCTGGATTCATTGTTTGTTTTGGATTTTATCAATTGCATCAACCTTTCTTTTTTTGAGTAAACTATCGATTTACCCCCTGAACTTTCACTTAGCTTTCGATTTCCCTCCTAAACTTTTCTATTGGAAAATTAAGGACTCAAAACTAATTTTTTTAGCCAATTTGCCCCCCTACCATTAGTTTTTCATATATTCCATCCATATTTCTGTTAAGTGAGACCAAGTGCACAACATGTGAGGGTAGTTAAGTTATTTCACTCTTAAAAATGATTAAAAAACTGAAAATAATAAAAAAAACAAAACAAAACATTCTTTGTATTTTTGCCCGCTAATTCCTATTTTCAATTTTATTTTTCCCTCTCATTCCTACGCATGAGAAATGACATATGATGTTATTGTCTTCATAAGTGGCTAAGTTAGTCTTTTTCTTGAAGCATGTACAACCATTTTTATTTTCTCTAACAAAATAATAATTAGACAAATGCTTATGGTGTTATTGTCTCCAAAGCAGTGCATTAATATAAGAAACATGTTCATAATACTCATAAAAAATGCTCAAGATAATTACATAATTTTCATAATGTCATAATAATCCTAATACAATTCCACAAAATGATCCTTAAGAAGTTGGAAAACATAAGAGATTTTATCACCCATAAGGTATATAACCCATAGAATCTCGATTACAAAATATGGGCATTCCACTTAACCAAACACAAGCAAAATAAGGTTTTAGTTATCAAAACAAGAGCACAAACATTCGGCTCGAAACACAAATGACATGTGGAGATCAACTACACTTTCCATGGCCTTCCTCGTTTGGTTGGAATCTTGTACCTAAACCTATTTTCATTTCTGATGACTGAGTAAGGTTGAGGGTGTTATGTTTTCCAACTTCTTAAGTTCTCTAGTTTTTTACAGCATTGCAACGGGTGACGAATTGCGCTCAAACTAGCTGCATATGAATAGAAGTTCTCTAGTTTTTCTTTGATCTTTTAAAAACAAGAAGATTTTAATCATAGATCTACCAATTCCTTTCCCCAGCCCACCAAAGTGCAACTTCAGCTAGAGCGTGTCCCTGAGACGTGTCTTCTAGTTCTACCTAGTAAAGTATAGATTTAAGTGTTTTTAACAGAACTAAACTGACCTGGAGGGGAAGGGTGATCAAACCGCCACAACAAACTCCAGCAAAGAAACACTCTGAAGAAATGCCCTGCACTCAGGTAAAAGCGTGTCATTCCCAAGTCAATCAAAGCAAATACCAACAAAAAGTACGATGAATTATATCAGACTAACCAGGGTCCCCGCTAGAAATGCCTTTGGATTTCTCACTCCAAGCAAAAATCGTTCAACTGAAAGCCAATATGCACTGAAACGTCACTATCTAATACCAGAATTCAAGCGTAATGGATTGCTATAATCTTCTTATACAACACTACCTCAAAACTTGTACATATATTGGCCTATGGGAGTACGTCAACTCATGACTTAAACTTTGAATCATTCATAACTTTGCACATTCGAAACATGATAAAAAGGATCTAAAACAAATAAGCTTTACAGCTTACCGAAACCGATGAGGTTGCCATATTTTTGCACTGCAGAGGTTATACTTAAAGATCTCTCTTTTCCAATCCCTAACTGCATCCAGCATCAGGTTAAACTTCATTAAAACACAAAATTGGTGCTTACCACTAGCAGAAAATAGGTATGTGCATCACGGGAATGAGCACTCCAGATGTATAAGAACTCTGAAGCTAGAAGGTAGGAGTAAGATTAACATTCGAGAAAACGTCATCGGAGGCCCTGGATTTTCTAAAAAGCTTCCCGAGATAAAATGGTATTAGATCACTGATGCACACTCCCCTGAAATATGAAAACATCAAGTAATATTCCCATAGTCGATATTACAAGGCGTATAGACAGACAATGCTAAAAACTAAAATGGTGTGGCCATATTACCAAAGAAGAGGTAGTGATTGAGTATAAACATACACTTATGATATGATATTGACGAGCAAGTAGGCAATTTTTACATTCTTTTTAACTTGTCACGTACTTTTCTTTATTTTTAATTTTTAAATTGAATATATCAAAAAAAAAAAAAACAACGAAGATAGCTAAGAGCTTATTGGAAGCGATTTTAAAATAACTGAAAGCGTTTTTAGAGAAAATATTTTTAGTTTCAAAAGCACTTCAAGTGCTTTCTGGCAAAAAACATTAGTTATGCGCTTATTCCAGAAAACATTTTAAGTGATTTTCCAGTACCACTTACTTATATTTTCACTAAGAATTAGTTCAAAAAATGTTTTTACCAAAAACGATTTTAGACATTTTAAAAACATTTACAAACGAGTTCTATACAAGAATATATTTGGAAAATGATCCTCATTGGATCATTTTCTTGGGGATCTAAGGGATCACGTGATCGAGATTGTCCATTGTACATCGTGCGGACATAAATTATTTTAAAA